TTTTAAAAATAGGTTTTTGTGGGTTTTTCGAGCTGTGAGGCCATGTTCTAGAAGAATGTATTCCTGACGTTTCAGCTTTAAAAAAATATTTTAAATTGATAAGCCAAGACCACACACCCTCCACCTCTGCATTAGACAATGGGAGAGCTCACCATTATCACTGATGTTGTTCTCCTCTATATTGATGGGTTCGTTGAGGTTCTTTTCTACCGTTCGGCTCCCTCGCAGTGTCATGGACAGCTGCCTCTTGATCTTCTTCATCCGATCCATGGTGGGGTAATGGCTGGAGTCACTGCCAAGGGTGAAGGGTAGGGAAAGGATGGACAAAGGCAACAAGAGGAAAAAAAGGATGGTTACCCAGTATATTAAACACACAGGGGGACTTTCACTTGATATACCTTAGCAAAATTTGCTGCTGTATTTGTTCAGTTTGCAAATCTGCTTCTCAGCCCATAAAGTGATCCATGAAGTCATAATGCTACTTTTTAATAAAGTAAATTGAATGTCTGAACGTTCATAGTCAATGAAACAGACAAAGAAACAAAGGGCCTGCAAAGTTTTGCTGTAGTTCTGAGTAATCTAAGCATGTACTTCTTGGGCCCTTGAACTCTCAATTCCTATATTACCTACAAACTTAGGTCTTTTTTCCATTTAAATTAACTGCATTTTTACACTTGAAACATATTTATGTTCACAGCTGAATACTGTGAGCACTGCAGACACAGGCTTGACTAGCAATTTCAAACCAATATGCATTTCCTCGCCTAGTCTCACTCTTGAACACACAGATTTCCTCTCCCTTCCTATTCTCTCTCCTACTTTTTTTCCTCCTAGGATTTATCCCTCAAGCTCTCTACTTTTTATCACTCTCTCACCCCAGCCATCACTTCCAAACCTTCTTCTACTACCAGCTTGGCTTTCACCAGCTTAGTTAGTATCAACCTTTCTCTGATCAGACCTACAAAAGCAATTGTGGACTGTTTGCATGCTGTGTGCATTAAAGTCATTTCCAACTTAAGGCAACCCCAAGGCAAACCTATCATGTGGGTTTCTTGGCATGATTTGTTCAGAGGTTTGCCATTGCCTTCCCCTGAGACTGAGAAAGTGTGACTTGCCCACCACTCTCAGAATCCCCAGCCAATACAGCAGAAGGCAGAGTGGCTAGGTGACTCTAGATGTTGTAGTCCAAAACAGTATTTCCCTGAACTCTAACCCCATATTTTCCTTCCCTAGATGTTTTCATCTACTCTGCCTTTTTTCTAGCCTCTGAACAACTCCACCAATGGCAAGCAGAAACTGTTCTATTGTGAAAAGAAGGCATACCAGTCAGTCATTACCAAAAGTAATCTCAACCAGCACTACAACTGCAAAATATTTCATAATCTAGATGTGTATTTATTTATTAGCTATATATTATCAATGACTTCATGGTGGGGTAGATAGCTCACTTCCTCTCCATGTCATCCTTGCCTTAAAAACATTGCAAAGTAGAACAAATTGAGAGAGTGTGTGTCACTCATCCAAGACTACCTAATGAGTTTCATGTCTTAGTGAGAATTTGAATCTGGGTCTCCCAAGTATCTGTCCAACACCTAACCAGTATACCATACTGACTCTCATTATACAATCTTTTTATTGAAATGAGAAGATAGCTTTCTAAATGAAGAAAGCACTCATGACAGGCTTAAATGACAGGCAGATATTTAAAAATTAACCTTTTTTTCCTAACCCTTGGAAGTCAATCGAGGCAACACAAGAGGACCGGGGGGGGGGGAATTCCTCAAAGAACCCATGAGCATCATGTAAAGCTTGTCATAGTCAAGCCCAGTCCCAGCAAAGGGAAAAACACAGCACAGAGTTAAAGTACAGAATCCAAGACCATACAATGCAGGTGGTGGTGGTGGTGATGATGATGATCACCTTTCAATGGCTTTAATGAGGGATTAGACAAATTCGTGAAAGGCTAACAGTGGCTACTCACCATCATGACAGCTATATACCACCACCCAAATCAAAGGCAGCAGGAAAAAAGCTGCTTCAAAATGGAAACAGATATAACAGAGTGAAGCCCAATACGTTAAGGGCCACTGTGTTCTCCCTATTTATAACATAGGGAGCTAGAACAAATCAGATGGTATCACATCCTAACACTGGGGTGACCAACCTGGTAACCTCCAGATGTTTGGGACTATAACCCTCATAATTCCTGACATCAGCCAAAATGATTGAGATTTATATGAGATGTAGTCCCACATATGAGGAGGGTACCAGATTGCCTACCTTTGTTGTGGTGTGCCTTCAAGTCATTTCCAGCTTATGTCAACCCTAAGGTGAATTCATCACAAGGTTTTCTTGGCAAAGATTTGTTCAGAGAGGGTTTGCCCTTGCCTTCCTCGAAGGCTAAGAGTATGATTTGCCCAAGGTCATCCAGTGCATTTCAATGGCTGAGCAGGGATTCGGACCCTGCTCTCCAGATTCATAAGCCAATACTCCAACACCTACCTACACCATGCTAGCTCTTGCAGAATACCCTTAACATTGAAGAAAGAATGTGACAGGTGAAGATTGGATGTTGAATTCATGGACAAAGGTCATTAACCTGGCAAAGACAGGGTGACCAGATGTTTTCACCGCAAAGGAGGGCAAGGCATCACAAAATGTAGGTCATTCAAGAAAAATATAAGACATTACAACATAAAAGCCAAAAAATACTAACAGAAATGTAAATTCATGCTTCTTAGTCATGCACAAAATGGAGGACATTGTAGAATTCTTCCTGGAAAGAAAGTTGAAATGTAGGACATGTTTGGGAAAAGGAGGATGTCTGGTCACCCTGGGGAGGGTCTGAAGTACAAATGCACTTTGTGAAAGTTATGCTCATGTGGCAGCACAGCCAACCGTATCTACTCATGCAAACTCATCAGTTAAGAGTGAAACTATGCACAAAGATTTGATCATGCCAGGGAAAAGGGCTTACAGCCAAATGTGATTTGTGAGTCTAATCCACGGGTAGGCAACCTTTCCTCTTTAAGGGCCGAGGGACTTCAGCTCCTAGAATCCCAGGAGCTATTGGCCAACATGGGACTATTGGCCAACATGGCTGAGGCTTCTGGGAGCTGAAATCCTTCGGCCCTTAAAGGGGAAAGGTTGCCTACCCCTGGTCTAACCAGTTGGCCATCCTTGGTGAAGTGAGACACATAAACGTTTTCTGGGGAGCAAGCAGGAAGAGATAGGAGGGACTGGCATTTTGAGAAAAGACAAGCCTGAGTAAGGGGAGCACTGGGAATAAGTTTTAGGAAATAGGTTCTCAAAGGAGGAAGCAATCATTTAAGAGCTTACAGCATGGCTTCCAATTTTCAAGCTTTTACCATGTTTGCTGTTAGGATGTTTATGGTGTGCATGATTTGTTGTTGTTGTGTGCCTTGACTTATGGTGACCCTAAGGTGAACTTATGGGGTTTTCTTGGCAAGGTTTGTTCAGAGCGGGTTTGCCATGGCCTTCACTTGAGGCTGGGAGAGTGTGACTTGCCCAAGGTCACCCAGTTTCATGGCTGAACTGGGATGTTAGTATGTGTTAATTAATGTCTGTAGGTATAAGTAGTAACTGTACCCCTCCCCTTTTGTCACGTGGTGTGTATTTCTCTTTAGATTTAAAAATGTTTCATTAAAAAATATTTTTTAAAAAAGCTTACAGCATAACAAGGTTTTCCAACTTGGTACCCTCTGGATGTCTCAGGCTACAGCTCCTTTTGTATTTTTTCCTTCAGGCAAAAAAAGTTATTAAACAAGCCCTGGACGGTGAGACCCAATAATCTTGATCAACACAATAGCTTGCATAAACCAAGTGTACCATCTGAGCCTATGATATTCCCACAAATCCTTGGCAATACATAGGGGTTCTCTAGCAGAAGGATTTCTAGACTGGTAAGCTGAGGTGGAGAAAGTATCCCTGAAGGAGAAAGGGTCCCTGAAGACAGAAATCCACGCCTCTGAAGCATCAGAGATTGCCAAGGCAGATGGGTCTGCTGCATGGTACAGGGGGGCTGGTGGTGGAGAGGAATCAAGCCAAGTTTTTCTTTTGGAAAGAGACAGCTTTTATTTTGTGCTTATCTCCATATTTGGAGCTGGGAAGCAATTTTTGCCCCAGGTCAATTTGGCTAGCAAGAGAATTAGCATAATTCATTCCTAGCACATCATTTGGAGGGTGTGTGTCCGTCTGCACCGTGCACAAAGCCCCACCCGCGGCTGATGATGAAAAGAAAAATGATTTCATCAGAGGTTTGAACCAGCCTAGTTTTGGTCAGAGGCTGTATTTTTGGGTATTCCTTGCTTCCAACCAGCTCCTGAACCTTCCTCTAATGAATGGTGGGGATTAAATTTAGTACACAGAGCAGGAGTGTGGAAGGAAACCACCCAGTCTGGGTATGAGGTTGACAGATGGGATCCAAAGGAAGCTTTAAAACATAGGTGAGGGCGGAAGGGGGGCTTGCCTGAGGCCATGGGTCCTCCAAAGGTAGTGAGGGTCTCTCCCTTTTCAGACATGGGCCAGGGATCTCACCCAGTATTTTCAGCCAGGACAGGTGCCATTGCTAACCCAGGCTTGCAGCTCCAGGCCTCAAATCTATGGTGCAGAGGATCTATTGCTTAGTTCAAGTTGTACAGTTAGCCCTCCACATTTGCGCCTTTGACTTTTGCAGATATGATTATTTGCAGATTTGATTTAACAAGTCTCTAGTTTCTCCAGCACAACTCTGCCAGAGGTTGACCATAGAGTTGTGATGGAGAACCTAAAGTTCCTATGAAAACACTTCTCTAGGCATTTGTAGGTTCTCTGGCATGATTCTATGGTCAAATTCTGGCAGATGTTGACCACAAAGCTGCACTGGAGGACTTGGAGATTCCCAGAGAGGTATTCTCTTAAGTAAGAAGAGGGTTTTTTATTTGCAGTTTTTCCATATTCACAAGGGTCCTTTATTTCTAACCACTATTTATTACATGGGAGCCAGCGTGGCATAGTGGTTTGAGTGCTGGACTACGACTCTGGAGACCAGGGTTCGATTCCCAGCTCAGCCATGAAAACCCACTGGGTGACCTTGGATAAATCACATGCTCTCAGCCTCAGAGAATGGAAATGGCAAACCTTCTGAACACATCTTGCCAAGAAAACCCTGTGATAGGTTGGCCTTAGGGTTGTCATAAGTCAGAAACAACTTGAAGACTGTACACAACAACACATTTATTACATACTCCAAGTGCTACTACTACCAATGTGAACAGAATAAAAGATTGTCAAACCCATCCCCTTTTATACCTGTACTTGTTTTTAGGGAGGGATACACTAGACTTGTACAACTGGGACCCTATTAAGAAAATGGCCAGTGGTTCAAGCTAGCTGATTATATGAACTATCATCCAAAATACTAACTTTCCCAAGCTTGGCACACAGTCTGGCCTTCTGTGTACTGTCAAGGCTGCCCCATTTTAGTAGCTGCAGGCAGAAAGCAAAATAAAGAACCACCAAAAGGCTTTATAGATAAACTCCGATCTAGCTCAAGTTATCAACTGATTGTAAAAGAAGTCAGTGAAGCTTTATGCAGCATGATTTTAAAATATGATCACCTACTTATGATCACCTAAATCTGATCCTGGGTGTGGTATTAGTGGTGTGGCCCTTCAAGTAGTTTCCAGCTTATAGCAACTGCAAGGCAAACCATCATAGTGTTTTTCTTAACAAGATTTGTTCAGTGGTGCTTTTGGCAGTGCCCCACTCTGAGGGTGAGAGAGTGTGCCTTGCCCAACATCACCCAATGGGTTTCCATGGTCAAATGGGAATTTGAACCCTGGTCCAACACTCAACCACTACACCACACCCAGCAGGCTTGGCCATGCACAGTGGTGAGGAATGCTGGAAATTACAACTCAACTTGGAAGGCCCCACAGTTCCTATGCCACGTTAAAAGCCTATCTCCAGGGGTTGTAAACAAGTTGGCTAAAAGGACAGCCCTTATAGAGAACATCTCTATTTCTTGCTGCAAGACTGGACTGAGAAAGTAAATTTGACTGGAGTCAGGTCTAGGAAAACTGAAGGAAGAAATGTTTGGGAAAGGGGTAAACTCCCTATCTTAATTGATATTTTGGAGAGAGAGCTTTTTTTAGAAGTCCCAGGCCCAGAAAGCTCTGTGCAGTAAGTCTTCTCTCTATTTGTGCATTGCTGAAAAAAGACAAGCATGGCTTACTTCCCGGAAATTCATGGAGGAAAAACAGCTGTGATATATATCTAGGATTTAAATCTCTGCCTATCAAGATGACTGGAAAATGAGAGTAGCACCATCACTGATAGTTTCACCATGGAGGCTGATGGAGTGAGGACCAGCTGGCATTATTTTGCATGTTCTGGGGACAGCAATAGAAGGGTATGAGGTGGGGATTGTCTCTCTCTTTCTGGCTTCAGTGGCTACTTTGAAATTTTCTCCCCAATTTATTTGATTACTCCCTCAGGTTTCTTTGATCAGATAATGGCCCCACTAAAAATGTTTCATTTTCAGTCCACCACTGCACACATCCCATCCACTGTCATTAATCTAAGTGCCTAAGCCAGCAAATTCCCTGAAGACACCAGATCCCATCTGATCCTGGAAGTTAAGCAGGGTCAGCCCTGCTTTGTACTTGGATAGGAGACCGCCAATGAACACCAGGTGATGTATTTCAGAAGAAGGAACTCAGTATTCCTTGTCTAAGAAAACCCTATACAGAAGGCCCTTGGTATCCACTGGGGTTTGGTTCCAGGATCCTCCATGGATACAATAATCTGTGGATGCTTAAGTCCCATTAAATGCAGTGGCATAGTAATATATGGTAGTGTCCCTTATATAAAATGGAAAATCAAGGTTGGCTCTTTGGAATTTATATCTTATAAAAATATTTTCAAGTTGTGGATGGTTGAATCAGTGGATAAAGAATCTTTGGCTATGAAGGGTTGATGTAAAATTCATAGGGTCACAATAAGTCAAGAGAAAACATGAAGGCACATACACGCACTAAGCCAGTAGTTTTCCACCTCTAGCCTTCTAGATTCCTTTGGACTCTAACTTCCAGAAGCCACAGCCAGATGGCCAATGATCAAGAATTCTGGGAGCTGAAGTGCAGAACATCAGGAAGATCAAAGGCTGCGAGCCACTGGTCTACGTCTTGCCTTGCCACTCTCTTCGAGGACGTACCTTCTCTAACCAAGCTCAGGGTATCAAGGTTTGGTGGCCTCCCCCAAAACTTCCTCAGCCCCCTACAGCTGTCTGGCTGCCCTCAGCTCCTTCTCTGCCAGGCTGAGCCCTGTTGAGTCAGTGAGATGTGACAAGCTGGGAGCCCAGGGCCATGAGGCAGGCAGGCAGCAAACGGAGGATGCACACTGTGAGCGAAGATGACATTCCTCACCTCGGTCTGTCACTCTGTGTTAAGGAAGACTGAGACAGGATGAAGGAAGAGGGGGGAGTATGCACAGTTCTTACCACCCCATCCTGCGTAGGAAGCTGCCTAAATGGAGACAAACCCATTGTTCTACCTAATTTGTTACAGCTGTTGTTGTCGTTGTGTGCCTTCAAGTCATTTCTGACTTATGGTGACCCTAGGGCAAATCTATCATTGGTAAGATTTGTTTAGAGGAGGTTTGTCAGTGCCTTCCCTTGGGGCTGAGAGAATGTGACTCACCCAAGGTCATCCCATAGGTTTCAAGGCCGGGCCAGGAATTGAACCCTGGTCTCCAGAGTTGTAGTCCAACACTCAAACCACTATGTCAAACTGGGGTCCAAAACACACTGCAGAAATAATCCAGTCTGAGATCGCTTTAATTGCCTTGGTTCGGTGCTAGGGAATCCTGGAAATTGTAGTTTATTGTGGTACCAGAGGTCTCTGACAGAGAAAGCTAACTGTCTCAACAAAACTAGTTCCCAGAATTCCCTAGCATTGAGCCAGGTTGGTTAAAGCGGTCTCAAACCAGATTATTTCTACAGTATGTTTCAAACCCAGGTCTCACAATTTGTAACAGCAGGGGGTGAGAATCATGCAGCCTTGTAGACCTTGTCAAACTGCAACCCCCAGCATTCCTGACCATGGCTGTTCTAGCTAGGGCTGCTGGGCACTGCAGTCCAACAACACTTGTAGGGCTTCACAATTCCCATATCTATGCCATAATCTTCTCTAAAGATAGATAATGTATCCTTCCTAGAGATGCTTTATATTTAACTGATTTTAATTTTATTGATAAGTTTACGAGTGATATGATTGTTTTTTTCATGTTTTTTTAGTACGAGTCTTTTGCTAGGGCACTTAACTTTTTCATATTGATACCAGGGCAACATTTCCGCCACCCTGCTTCCCCTATTTCAAGGAAGGAAAAAGAAACCATGGAAAATTCCCTATGCAATTTTTAAACGCTTTTTCCATCTCCAGCTCAGACTCAGGTCACTACTGTTTTCCTCAGAAGCAAAGGCGTCCAGCTCTGGCCTGGCAAACTTCCTATTTATACCTAATCCTCTCTAAGCTGGACCCAGGAAATCAACAGCCTGCAGCTATCAACAAAGCCAAATATATCCTCAGGGCTCACTTCCACACTGCCTCCCATTAAATGAAAAGCACTCAGACAGTCTTCCACAACATGATGCCTCTGTTCCCCCCTCCGCTGCCATGCTGGATCTTCAAAACCTTTCCCCAATAAGTAGAGATGGCTGTGGACTTGTAGTCTAGCATGTCCGGAGGATAGCAGGTAAGCAACCATCTCCCAGACAAACTACGGGGTGAAGGGATTCCAGAGTCCTCTGCCCCAGATCAGATCAGCATTCCTTCTCTTATCAGAACAACATGTCTGGTCAGCCCAATCTACTGATAACCAGGTCCAGCAAGCCTTGGCTCTTTGTTTGGAAAACGATGACCTAACCAAGCATTCCAGCAGAGACAAAGGAAAGAGAAGACCCGGCAAGGAAATCCTGGTTTCATATGCTCTGAGAAGGCACAAGGTGAGGCAGACTGCCCTTTCCTTGCCTTTCACCCTTTTTCTATCTAGGAGGAAGCCTTAAAATAATTTTCAAGTCACAGGGAAACCCTGCATAAAAACATTACATCTCCAGCTAAAAAAACATTTATTGTATATACTCATGTATAAGTCTAGAAATATTAGTCAAAAAATGACGCAAAAAAACTGAGTCAACTTATCCATGGGTCAATGTAAGTACCGTACTTTAACTCTTATTAAAAAAGGAACTGCCTTCTGGTGAAAGACAAGAGTGTATTATGTTCTGGAAGCACTGACCTCCCTCTGCTCTTATCCATTCATCCTTTAGTCTGAGCACAAACATTTATGCCTGTTGGAATTTTTAAAGTGCTTTCCATTGTTTTTCTTTGCTTCATCCTTTGCATCAGTGGTTCGCAAACTTTGGTCCTCCAGATGTTTTGGACTTCGGCTCCCAGAATTCCTGAATGTTGATCAAGGTTGTCTGGGGGTTCTGGAAATTGAAGTCCAAAACACCTGGAAGACTAAGGTTTGGGAATCACTGCCTTATATTTTTAATTTTGTGTGTGTGTTTCTGTGTTTGCGCTTTCAAGTCGTTTCCAACTTATGTTGATCCTAAGGCAAACCTATCATGGGGTTTTCTTGGCAAGATTTGTTCAGAGGAGGTTTGCCATTGCCATCCCCTGAGGCTGAGAGCATGTCACTTGCCTAAAGTCACCCAGTAGGTTTCACGGCTGAGCAAGAATTAAACCCTGGTCCCCAGAGTCATAGTCCAGCACTCAAACACCATGCTGGCTCTCTGCACATGCCCCTAAATTCTGCCCTCGACTTATCCACGGGTCCTATCAAAACCCATAACTTTGGCCCCCAAACCTGCCCTTGACTTATACATGAGGTCAATTTATAATTGAGTATATATGGCAATTTTTTTCAATTTTGATATCTCACAGAACTCCAGTGACCTCTCACAGAACCCTAGGCTTGTAGGGAACCCTGGTTGAGAAACCATTTTTCTTTTTTTAGGTATTTGTAAACTTACATACATACAACCCGAGGTAAAACCAATGAGTGAGAA